GAAGATCGAGATTTTCAGCAAAACTGTATACTTTCATAATTAATGTAAACCTTGGAATTGATGGCGTCTTGTATTTGTGTGAATATGGCAATTAATGTTTTGTTTTTTTACATGACCAGTCCACGTAATTTCGACGTTACCCAAGTTTTTTTTTTTAGTTTTTGACAGAGAACTAAATATCCGGTTTAGTGGAAGAACGTTTCGGGTTCTGGTTTCGTAGAAATCTGTGCAATGATTTTTTGCGGCAGTTTTCTGTAAATAATTCCGTGTGTGATGGCTTTGAATGCAATGCTGCATTGTGGATATTTTGCCCCATCCCTCTTTATTTCGGCTCCGTTTTGTTCGGTGAGGAAAGGCTTTTTATTTCGCGTTTGGTCATCATTTGACTAATCCAAGTTCCGTTGTGATGATGAAGTTCCTGGGTTAGAAAACATTCTTTAACTTTTGTATCATACCTTTTGAGTCACCGGCGAGCTTTGGTTTTTTTTTTTTTTTGAAGGAATGCTGCGGAGCATGGTGAATTCCGTTTCCAGTGTTGAATCGATTGATTGGAGTATGACTGTGTGGTGCATATGAGACGAGAAGAAACACGTCACTTTTTTTGAATTGGTTGTCACTTATCATTCATGACCCCTCTCTGAGTATTTGTACTGCATATGTAGGGAAGAAAATTTAATTTCAGGGCTTTTTAAGGAATATATTTTGTGAAGAAAATCACAACAATCCAAAAATAGATTGAATATTTGAAGTTCACGCATAGAATTCCTTGCTGATTTTGTGTAATTTCACTGGTCTAACGACGCAGTAAAATACAAAGAATCTATGCAGAACACATGAAAATATTTTCCACCAGACGCTCATCGAAAAGTCACCCGTGCTGTCCAACTTTGCAACTGTCGGTAAGTAGTTCATGTGTCATCCAAATTTTTCGCATCAAAAGGAAGAAAAACAGCTCGGGACAAAATAAAAATGACGACTTTCACTAAAAAATTCGGTAACCCAATAAAAGAATTTTGCAATAAATCTTGAAATCGTGTTCAACAATACTCTAGCGAGTTTTTACAAGAATTCGCCTATCGTGTTTCTGCCAGGACCTTCGACCGTTCTGTTTCATTGAAATATATTTCATCATAGAGGAATTTACCATCAGTTGAAGCCCTCAAGCCAGGGATGGTCCCACCATGGAGTTATTATTGGCCCCAGGGTAAATTGAGAACATGACGCATGTTTTCCATGCAATGACACACAAAAAATAGTTTAAAAAAAAAAACTGTCAAGAGACCAACAGGTCACATGAACCTGGTACTGTGTGATGATTCAGCAGCACGTGGCAAGATTTTCTCAATTCACTTACACAGTACAGTACACCAAAACCAGATGAATGATGGAACCGTTTTGAGATGTTAACAGTGTTTATACTTCAACCATCACACAACTTATACATAAACACAACATCACTCACATCATAAAGCAGTAAAATTGACACATGAAAATCATTTCGATTCGAGATCCGGATTCCTCCAATGTGCGAACAAACAAAAGTAATTAGCACAGTACAAATGGTTCAGGGAGGTGAAACAAAAACATTAAAACGTTTTCATCCCATAAGAAGCAATCATTCACACGCTATCAGAAATGACGCGGATCAGGGCGACACCTAAGACCTAATTGCCTTCTCAGAAACATCTGCCACAGGGAGAACTTCCAAAATCGCTCAATCTTGTTCGCAGATGGCAGCACTTGATGCGCAGAAAAAAAAGAAACCCACTCACAAAAAAATTGCATTCAAAGAAAATATTTCCAGGATGACACGGATAATCCATGCAGGCCTTCATAGAATGTGATATCTCGTCAGCACGGATTTCATCTTCTAGAAGGCCCGTACGAAATGATTCCGTTGCACTTACTCCGGAGTTCTTGCACATCGGCTGAATATCACTGACAGGATGAGACGACGATTTTTCGCCAGCCAGCCATCAAGGCCATGAAGAGTGCAATTTGTCAAGAGATACACCAAAGTTGCACTCGACATAAGCCTGATGGACAGAGGCATTCAGCACCGACGGAATTGCAGATGTCGATATTCCAGTTCACTCGTTCGATCTTGAAGCTTGCCCTATTGCGGGTAGTTTCACCACGGAAGTCGAATTTTCGAACACTGACTTCCGGTGGTGAAGTTACCAGAACTGAGCAGCGACTTCACAACATAAATCGATTTAAAAAAAAAAAGCATTCAGCACTTCTTATTATAGAATCATCGCACGAACGGCGATCAATTACAGAAAAATTTTTCTGCATTAAAAAAATAAAACCACGCGGAATACCTAACGTTCCATGTTGAATAAATTTCGGACATTTCAACCTGTCGATGCTTGAGGATAACATTTAGATTAGTAGGTTACAGAACCATGTCAAATTAAAATAAAAGAAAAACCTGTCCTGCAAGCGAGACAAGAAGGTCGTAATAAATCTAACATTTACAGTTTGTTATGACATTCTCATCACTTCATGCACGGCGATATTAATGAATAAATTAAAATACCACTGTTATCACAGGAATCCATCGAACGATCGAAGTGAACTGAAGTTATTACGCACACAGCACGATTCTGGAACATTCATTATTTGGTGCTCAATCTTGAAATAAAATTGTAACTGGAACTTCAATGTAGGCTACGAAAATTTCCTAATAGGGTAATAAGACAATTTCAGTTTTCCTGCAGATGCCGGCGGGGTTCAGATCGATAAAAAAAGACAAGATCCACAGTTGAGCTAATCCACGAAATGGCGGTCACACTGCGCACAACTCACGATTCAGTACTTTCCGAATGATGATAGCAAGTACCATTCATGCCACAATCCCAGCAAAAATCGAAGCGAGAACAAAGCAATAACACCAGGACCAGGATCACGTCGCGAAATGGCGTTAGAGATGCACACAGACACGCCAAGAACTGCGTCACATACGCTCTGCGCTACTCATGATTCCTTCGCACTGATGGAAAGCGAATGCAAGAAACCCCGAAAATACGTCGAATCCAGTAAAAAAAAATCCGTTAATTCAGGAGGGATACAGAATACGGTAAAGATTAAGGCAAACCTACGCAGTTCACTGCTGTGCCAGACCAAGACCATCAGCAGCAGCTCGTTCGACAGGGATGAGAAGGGAGCACGGAAAAACTCTAAACGTTGTTCCCCGAAGCCAGCGAGCGTTACCGGCAACGTCCTCGTATTTCCTTCCTGCCGCGCCGACTCTTGCCACGCTCCCTCTGCCGTTGTCCCTGCGCCCGCGAAAAAAACTCGTACGTCTCTCCCTCACCCTTGTCCTCTTTCCCACCACTCACAAAAAGCCGGAAAGAGGGAAGACTTCGTCACTCATAGGTCATAGCACTTATTCCCTATACCGTACAAGCTATTCACCCCACATAGGGACGCTCAAAATTACGGAATTCAACGGCTGCATGCCAGCAGGTTAACCTCCGAGCCGAATTTTCGAACAACCTGCGTTTTCACCTCACCAGAACCTTCAATCTCGTGGAACTCCCTACGAAAACTTCGTGTAAACGACAGCACTTCTTTGGATCCACCAGCGGAGTCAAGTTATAGAGTATAGGAACCGACCCGGATTTTTTCTAATGAGCTCCTACCTTCCTAACTAGGGACAAATAACGCCTCTCCTGACCAAACTACTTATGCAAATACTCATTCAGTAGGAGTTTCAGTTATGATCACATCAGCAGGGAAGCGCGCGCGCAACACCAGCTTTTCACAAAGCGTAGAAAAACGGGAGTGAAAAGATTCCAACTGACGCCACATGGTGGCATAAGGGAGAGCCAGGGTTGCTCGATCCGCCGGAGTTCATTCGCACCAAAACGGAGGTCCCATCAAATCCACGCCTCTTTAAAACTTCCTTCTTCGCGGTTTTGTCTTTCAGATGAGGAAAACAAAAATCGTTCAGTACTGTACTGTACTTTGGAAACGTTCGGATGATCTTTCACACGCCGATTTATACTCTGCCTTTGTCTTTCTTTATTAGAAGAAGAATGCACTGTATTCGTTTTTTACAGGCAGATTCACGGACAAAGGGATATAGTCTGGGAATGGTAACGTCTAGGCGTACGACATAGCGCCGCTTTTCCGTTGCGCGCGCAACATGGCGTTGTCCACGGACATACTTCCGCTCACTGCACGCCAGGAATTCTTGGGGCTAATCATTTCTCACACCCTCCCTGCGTTTGGGGGTTTTCTTTCTTATTGGGAAGTAAAATGAAAATCATAATGAATGGTCCACTGATTCGGCAAGCTTTTTTTTTTACTGCAGCCATATTTTATCTATCTCTCCATTTGCTTGGAATTCCCAATCAACAAGGTGTGGTAGGCATGTGACAGAATCGGAGAAGTAAAAGTACTCAATGTATTGGCTAATTTCCTAGGGAATCTATGTAAAGTGTAAATTATTTGTTTTAGCTGATGAAATACGGTAGGAAGGTTGATGCAGAATATTCTGGTCAAATTGAATTCTTGCTTGGAATCTTGCAATGGTTAGGTCCCCACAAGAAAGCCAGCAGACTGAGTTTTGTGTCACAAAATGATGAACATTTTCATCAAAACATATCTTTACAAGCTTTAGCAGCAAAAAATGGCCCTGTCCTTAACTGCTCCATCCAAATTAAACAATTAATCATCTTTGAGGACTATGAGAATTTTGCTTGGGGCATTTTGCACATGTATGTATTGTGGAGGTTTGTCCCCAATGAACAATGAATAGAGAGGGAGTTACTTCATGAATACCTTGATGCTGGTTGTTGCTTGCCTTTTGGGTGGGTGCAATGACTCCAACCATGTTTTTCTCATGGTGGGCCGGGTTCACTGGGTTCGCACCCAGTTGCAGCTGGCTTGTTCAGTTATTGGACTGCATGGTAGAATTGCGGAGGGGAGTGGGGGCAGCACTCTCGTTTCTCTTGCATTGGGGAGAAAAAACTGAATAACAGCATTTGGGCATGACAAAGCTTTCCTTATTCCAGCAAATGCCCCCATCTGAGCTGTTCCTACAGAACGTGTTTCTCAATAAGTGAACAAAGGGAAATTGCAATCATTTCATCAGGGCAGGTTTCATGCTGTAGGTGTCAGGCATAACTTTTCCCATAGCTTTACAGAGCAAAACAAAAATAATGATCTAGTGGCTCTTTTGTCATGTGACATATCATCCAAATTAAGAAATTTACAGTAGTATCCTACTGTGCATTGCATACCATTTCCTAAATAAGTTATGACATATAGAAGCAAGAATCAACTGTAAAATTATTGAATGTATATGTAGGATTGTTTCATGAAAACTGTATCAGCAGTCTTGCGCTTCCATTGTTCAAGTCCTCACATAGCAAAGTAGGTACCTTGCCAAGTTGAACTTCCCAATACATATCTAAAACCTTCCTAATTGAATTTTTCAGTGAATTCCTGTCTAATTGCCACCTAAAGTCTATAATATTGCATGCATTTTAAAAACCCTTAACCCAAAACTTGTTGGGTGAAACCTCCCTTATTCAAATTTTACAGGCCTTTTTGTTCAGTAATTAAATTTAGGTTACATTTAAGAACACCTGTCCCAAAAATATATGGTAATTCTTTTGTTTGTGACAAGAGATTATGCATCTTCCTGCAGGTATAAAATCCATGAGTAATGAACAATTCAGATAACTTAGTCAGAAATGATTTCCATTGATTAACCTCAAAAAATCTTCTTAAATTTTTGAAGTTTCTTCAAATTTGACAAAGAGAGTTAAATCGCATAAAAATTATGTGAAGATTAAAACTTTCTTTATCTCTTTAATCTGAAGAAGGCATAATTTCTCAGCACATTATATACAAGCCTTGAAAAAGTAAAAAAAAAAATTATTAAAACTTCGGGTAATGTACACAGGGGCCATTCCCTGCAAAAGGGCAGCCGAGTTTCCGAACCCGAATGATGATGATGATGTCGACAAGCAGCCGCGGATCGAGTTTCGACATCGACAGCATTGTTCCGCAGCTGTCACATGAACGTCATGCCAAGCCGTCAGATGCATCCTGCGAAAACAGATCGAGCTTCGACAGCAGTATAGTTGCATTCTGTGTTGCCTGGAAGGTTATTCACCCAATGCAGGAAAAATATACATGAATACATGTTGGTTTGAATTTGAAAAGAGAGAGAGAGGAAATATGGACGTGACCGTCCATACATAATTTACATACTCTTTTCCTCCTATAGGAAATTGAGGAAGATATGAAGGGAAACCGGTCCTTTGAAAAAGCAACGAACCTTTTTTATTTTCATTTTATTATTCTGGTTTCCATCTTGCTTCACTTTTCCACCCAATTTTCAATTTTAATTATTTTTTTATGGACTGATTTCTCAAGTACAGGTCCAACCCCTCAAAATCAAATTTCAAGGGACCAGCAAAAATAATTTGAGTTATGGAGATTCAAGTTTGGGAAACACGCATTGTTGTTGTGGAAAATAAAGAAGAATTGCAGGAAATTGTAAGTGGTGATATTATTGGCCACAAATTGACTCTTCAATGAGTTGACAGGGTGCTGAACTTGGAGTGAAGGGTTTATTCTTCCAATTAATCTTCAACTTTGAAAAAAATGTTAAAACACATTTTCATTGTTTTTCATTTTTCTTAAATTTTGATGATATTATTTTTTCAATTTTAAAAATATTGTCCAGATAACACAGTATTTGGTGCATGGATTTGAAAATTGATTTAAAATTCATTGAAAACACAATGAAGCAGTTTAATCTCCACCCTTCTAAATACTTTTTCCAAGGTTTTCTAAATTTGAAGTTGAACCTTCATTCCAAGAACTTCAAAAAATGCCATGGTACTTCCCTTTTGTTTTGCATCCAAGGGGGAAAATTCCATTGTCATTCAGAAAGAATTCCTGAGGAAACCCAAGCAAAAGTACTCATCATGACTTGTTTTATTTAATAAAGGAAAATAGGACTAAACTATTCAAAAGAAATTGCTATGGAGGATCATACCTGTGATGTTAAATACATTTTTCTTTTCACGTTCCTCAGCAATTTAATAGCAAATTAGATTACATTTATGGAAAAACAAGCTGGGGTACCCAGCCATACCTAGGCATCATGCAAGTTTTAGATTGGAATTTTAAATTTCCAGTATAAAATAATTCAATCTCTTCAAGAGGAGGTGCCCAGCCACAACTGGACATCATGATAAAAAATTATGCAGATGATTAAAAAATTATTTCATTAAAGCTGGTTACGTGTTGAAGGACCACTGGTAATGAATCTCTGACTTGTGCTCAACCATATGTTGGCACATCCAAATTTTCAATTGATTTTCAAATTGCATTTATTGGGTGAATTTCTTATCACTTTCAGCATGAAAAGAATTCTGGAAGGAAAAAAGCACACATATATTACCTGTGCTTCAGACAATTGCTAGAGAGAAAAATCTCTGAAAAATAAGCCAAAAGCAGCCTGCTCTTTGAAATAAATTAGAATAAATTTATGACAAGATTTAGTTCTATGTTCATGGCAGTAGCTCAATTTCTTCATGAGATATCTAAAATTTGACATACAGTACTATTTTTTCATATTTGGCAGGTTCCACTTCTCAAGAAATTGGAAACATGCTGGTGCAGATTTTTGAGTTTCAGTGTCCTTAAGCTGAATTTGTCTGTATGTTGAATCTCAGTAAAATGCTGATATTTTCTGTTAGGGACATATAGAGACAACATCATCAATTGACTGAATATGTCATGTTATTTGGATCCATTCTGTATTTTCTATAGGCTCCTAATGTACAGCAGAGTTCTTTCTTCCCAAACAATTTTCAACAATAAACACCAGAGTTGCCACCACAAGTCCAATACCCCAAAGCCAAAAAGAACCACGCAATTCGTTTCTCCAGGTCAGGCCATTTTGTGGGGCTGTGCGCAGCCATTGCTCTTTTGGATCCTTGGACAGAGCTCGAACATCTGCAAACTTCATGAACCAATCCAGAGGCTGAGATTGCTTCACATGTTCAATGAGTCCGTGTTGATGGAACTGCATGCTGTGCAAATTTAAGGCATCAGTGTATGGGGAATGTTTGGCAATCAACACTGAGGCTCTCAGCATTGAAATTGGGCCTTTGCTCAGTCGAATAATGCTTGGATTCCAGTTGGTGCTGTTTACTGAAAAAAATAAATTGTCCTGGTCAAACTCCATCATGGCACATGGTTTCTTAAAACAAAATTGTTTAAAAGTCCCAGATCAATAAATCTCAGTAGACAAAATGCTAAAACAACCTCTCCACAACAAAATTTGATGATGCTTTACAAACAAAAATTGGTTCTTGAATGATGATGAATGAACAGAAAACTTTATTTGCCGCTTTTCAGTGTTCACAAGGGATAACCAGAACTCCCGCATCCAAACCCCCTCCCCACCCAACCCAACTCCCCCAGATACATTCAATCATTTCAAAGCATGAAACAAAGCACAAACAAATGACAAAAATAAAAGAGAACACACTCCACAAAATAAAACTGGACATCCTACACGTATGTTGCATACACCCACCCATCCCCAATATTGAAGACAAAGCAGCAGTAAAAGTTTATTTAAAGCACAAGGTCTTGTTCTTCATACAGATATTTCTATACAACTCCCATATTGTATCTTTATTGGATTGCATGATGTTTGCTGAAATTTTCATCTATACATTTGACTAAGGGAAGTTTGACCCAAGAAATTTTGATTTAGACAAGTTTATATTTGTTGGGACTTGAAGGAAATTGGCCATAGATGATCTGGAATTTGAATGAGGTAGGTTTTAGTCTTTGGTAAGTTTAACTATAGACAAGGTCCAACTGTGATATTAAAAAAAAAAAAAATAATCTGCATGGAAATCTCAGTACTTTCATTGGGAACTATATATGCAGTAACTTCATTTGAATGAGATTTCATTTTTTGGAATGGTAACTTTTATATGATTAATTTTTTCTTTCACAAGACATGTGACACCTCATACCATGAGTGCCACATTTACTTGAATTCCATGTGCTCTTAAGTAAGACACTCACTACAGTTTTTCATTCAAAATGTATTATGGAATTTTATCCCTATGTAAAATGCACACCCCATTTTAATGACTTTAAAAATACAATATTTCAAAATTAAGACCACCCAAATTCCAATTTTGGCATACATTGTTCCAGCATACAAATTATAATTTTCATTTATTTCCATTACAATATTTTCCCATTAAAAGTGGTTCAAAATATCCCATTAAAATAAAATATTATCCAAACTTAAACTATTAAACTTTTGGAAAAATTCATACCTATCTATGATACACACTCCTTTTTTCTCCCATTTTTGAAAAAAAAATGTGCGCATGGTACTCAAGTACATACTGTACAGTATATTTTAATATCTATGGCTGTGCAGTCACTTGCTCACATGCACCTCAAATCATTAATTTCATGCCAATGAAGACAAGCATGAAATGCTGCTCACTTACCTATTTTGGGAACATCTCTGAAGAATACATTTCTGGCATAGTTTTCAATTATGGCTGTGGAAGCTTTTCCTGGTAGTATAGATTTCAAATACAAGTTCCCCATTTCAGTGGAAGGATAAGTAAGACACTCACTACAGTTTTTCATTCAAAATGTATTATGGAATTTTATCCCTATGTAAAATGCACACCCCATTTTAATGACTTTAAAAATACAATATTTCAAAATTAAGACCACCCAAATTCCAATTTTGGCATACATTGTTCCAGCATACAAATTATAATTTTCATTTATTTCCATTACAATATTTTACCATTAAAAGTGGTTCAAAATATCCCATTGAAATAAAATATTATCCAAACTTAAACTTTTAAACTTTTGGAAAAATTCATACCTATCTATGATACACACTCCTTTTTTCTCCCATTTTTGAAAAAAATGTGCGCATGGTACTCAAGTACATACAGTACAGTATATATTGTAATATCTGTGGCTGTGCAGTCACTTGCTCACATGCACCTCAAATCATTAATTTTATGCCAATGAAGACAAGCATGAAATTCTGCTCACTTACCTATTTTGGGAACATCTCTGAAGAATACATTTCTGGCATAGTTTTCAATTATGGCTGTGGAAGCTTTTCCTGGTAGTATAGATTTCAAATACAAGTTCCCCATTTCAGTGGAAGGAACTGTAACCAACCTGTCTTTCACTTCAGCACTAAAGTCTGCTCCAGTTCCTTGGACAGATATGAATATTTTATTTGAAGTCTTCAATGAAGCTATGTCATCAATGTATGGCTCAAAGTTGGGATTAAAGTAGGCTGCAAACAAAGCTGTGGAATACATGATCACTAGTACCATGGAGACCAAACCCCATGTGGCAGCCAAAATTCTGGAGGAAATGGAATTCAGAAGTCTCCCCATGCTGTCAGGGGCTTGATTCAGTGTTGTGGCAAGCACTAACATGGGGACAGTTCCTGGAGGTCTCTGGAATGCTTCCCAATAATGCACTCTTCTTTGCTGGACTTGATTCCACTCAGTAGAGAAGACTGCAGAGAAACAAGCACAAAGTAGCAAGAAGGCTGCGAAAACTCCAGCCCAAGCAGGACTAGTGAATGGACCAGTGATTGTTTTTATTCCTTTTGGGATGATGCATGGAAAGCTCTGCAATGCATATGCGGCTTCAAAGGAATATGGGTAACAAGAGTCTAGATATGGAGTCAAGTACTCTGTCCACATTCCAAGGACAGAAAAAGCCATTTGTCTGTGAAAAAACTTTCCTGCAACATAAAAAAAATATTGCTTGAAAACAGCATGCAGCAAATCTTTTGGCAATAAATTTGATTGATTTTTTATTTTTGATGCAAAGTATATGATTTCCACAAAAAGCCTATTTTAAATTGATTGGGGAGTATCAAAGTTGTCAGTTGCAAGATTTACTGTATTTTCATAAATGAAGGTTTAAAAGAAGGTGTGAGAATTTAAATTTTGCTGTGTAGCATCTTCACATTCTGGTCTTGTTCAGTCATTTTGAGACTTTTCCAAAATTATCAGAAAAACCAAACATTTTTTAACATTGTCTATCTGTTGAGCAGTTGCCAAAGTG